AGCCCGCCGTCGTCCCCTATAGGTACCTACACACAGGTGCGTGTCCTGTAGGACCCCAGAGCTATAGGGCGCAGAAGTTGAGTTGCCAGTCGGGTTCCTGTCAGCCCTCTGAGTAAAGCGTTTGAGCTGGGGCGTAGCTGCGCCACAGGGTAAAACCACAATAACCGCTGAGGTAACCGCTTACCGAATCCTGCTTCGGAGGTGGTGGGAAAATTGCGATGGCAAGGAAAAAACCAAACAACGTGTCCCTGAGAGACAGCTCGTGACAGAGACAGACAAACGGAAAGAGGGTTTCTGTTCTTGCCCACAGTAGAGAGGATGTGCAAAAGGTTGCAGAATTGTATGTACTTTCCACTAAAAAGCGGTGAAATGAAAAAGGAAAAAGTGATGCTGCTGCCATCAGCCTGAGAACAGTCAAGGGCAGATTATTACATGGGACAAAACCCAGATATGTCTCCAGAGTTGTTTGATGCCTCAGAAACCAAAAGCAGTCGTTTGCACAGTGGAAACTTCCTGTAACTGTTACTTTTAATGTAGATGCTGCTCACCTGGTGCTGCTCATATGAAGGCACGCCCCCGGACCTGAGACTTTCTGTGTGGCCTATTTTACCAGCAACATTTGGGGGAACAGGGTTCCACACTGTTATTCTTAAAGCAATAACAACAACAAAGCACTTGTCAGAAGGCACTTAATTAAGAGACTAGGACTCCCCTATACATTGTAATTGTACACAAGTGGAGAATAACAACTTCCAGCATGGTTGTCAGGCAGGCCGAAGTTTTCTTGCTTAGAGCCTACCGCACTGATCGCACGGGTTGAAGACACTGGCTGTACACGGCGTGTTTGGTACCAGGGCATCAGACTGTGTGTTAGCTCTCAGAGTAAAAATATTGGAGAAAATCAAGACTATTGTGATCATTGTTAGACAATCACACATAGTGAAATGGAGCATGCAGATGAAACTGACAGATCTAATTTAGCTCCTAAATCAGGAATTACAAGATTCTTCTAGCTCCACAAGTCAGAAATAGCCTGGACATTGCTTAACAGTGATTTTTTAAATTCCTTCGTTATGTTGTTTTGCATATGTTACTTATAGACACTGTTTACTTAACTATTGTCAATGCCCATGTCAGTTTAGAGAGCATATAAAAAAAAACATTCCATCAAAACCAAGCCTGATCACGCAGAGCCTGTAGTCACTCCCAGACATGCTAGCTTCTGGGACCGCACCGAGACTAAACTGGAGATTCATCCTCCAGTGTAAAATGGGGGGAGTGCCAAGAGAGGTCAAGAACTGGAAATGTGTGAAAGTATGTACGTATCCTTTTGCCAAACAGTAGCAGAATTTCAGATCTCACAGACCTGACTGCTGTTTGGGAAAGATTTGGGTGACATAAAGTCAGTTATCAACTCAATGTAATTTCTTTACTCAATTAAACCTCATAGAGAAGGCAGAATTGGAAGTTATTGGTAGATGCCAGACAATTTCATGTTAGGAATAAGCAGCTCTTTTTAATAGGGGTAGTGCCTGTGCCCCTAGGGAAGCAGAGACCCCATCTTTGGAAGATGCACTTGGTTTCTTGGCTCGCCTGTTTCTGGGATCGATGCAGGTGTGGTATTCCACAGTCCACAACATACGGCTTGGACTAGATGGTCCCCTCTGGCTTTAAATCTGAGTGCATTTAGTACCTGATTCTTTGGGTGTGGTGGTTTCTGCTTGGTAACTGTAACACCTGAATTTCAGCCAGGATGTCCAGCAGGTAACATCTAGTCTGCAATTCCTCCACAATATACCACAACAACAGGGGCTACTGGGCAGCCAAGCCACAAAGACTCATTTTTGTGAGGAGACAACTGCTGCTCGGGAAGAGCTTGGGAAAAGCCCAGGAAAAAAAGAACCAGCCCCCAAACCTACTACAGCCTGGGGATGCTTTAGACACACTGTCTTCTTACAGCGGATACAAACTCAGCAGTTATACAACACTTTATACAGTTAAAGTAGTCGTTCTTATAACTGTCAGTGCCACGTGGAGCCGTCACGGGGCTAGATGCTGACACAGTCCCAAGAGCTAGACAGAAAACTGAGAGCCGATGTTGGCATGGTTGCCTCCATGATCTCTATGGAATTTCAGCCATTTTGAACACAGAAGGAAAATACTCTTCACGATCAGAACCTTTGCCTGGTTTTCTGTTGTGCTGGGCAACAGACAGCTGGTGTCCTGCTTGGGTAATAAATGCAGCCCCTGGATGTGGTACAATCTGGATTTTGCCTGATTCCTACCTGTCAGGAGGGCAGGCAGCATCTGCCACCTTTGCAGTTAGCATATTTGTTTTGGGTAAACAGAGCATTTATCAGTATGACACAGTTGCCAGATGGAGCTGCACCCTATAGCCTCACAGAGAGTTGGCTTGAAGTTTTTTTTAAAAAATACATCTTTTATTTGACACCTCCATTATTAGTATTTATTGGTCCTCTGGTGATAGCATCTTCCCTTTAGAAATGTTGCCTGTCTTTAAGAACCTCAAGTTCCACTTGTCATCAATCACTTGTCATCAAATCCCACTTGCCATCTGGAGGAAAATGCATCAATTATCAAATATGTGGCTCCAAGGCTCCATGTCTGAACTTACACTGTATGTGGAGAACACGGAGGAGAAAATGGGGTGGAACTCGCAGCCTCTGGCACCGCAGCCACAAGCCCCTCCTGCTTGAACAGAAAATAAATCACTAGCTGAAGGTGTCCTGTCACAATAAGGGAGCCATTCTCTTCCAGCCAGCAGAAAGCAGCAAGAGGAACACCCAGGAGCACGTTATTGGCCTCAGTTTAGAAGGGAAGAGATGCATAAAGAGTGTAAATGGAGGGAACAAAGCCTTGTCTGTAGCACGGGAGAGGAAGCCTCAGCTCTCTCCCCTCCTTCTTGCTTTTCATGGCAATACGTGATCTTGCATTTGCAAGAGTATTTATTTTAGCAAATGAGCATATGGAGTACGTGGGCAGTTAATGAAATGTGGGAGTGTTCCTGCTGCAAGGAGAAGGTGGTGTGTGAGGTCATGCATATGGAAATATTTATTCCTGCCTAAGGGCATTCGCAATGTAGCCCCTGGAGTCTGGGTACAGAGCTCCCCCTCTCTGGAGGCAGTCAGTCAAACCCTAAAACAAGCTATCCTTTGGTCATGTTGCAAAGCCTACTGAGGGCCAAGGGTGAGGGAAGTCAACTTTTGAGCACACAGCTCCCAGAGAACACGCAGGGAGACGGGACAGTAATGCCAGGTGACCATGGTGAACTGGGGAAATTGGTACGGACTTCCCTGCCAGCATTTACCGCCTGGTTTCTGAAGGAAGTCCAGCCTCTGCGATCACGTTCTCTGCCCATCTGCTCCTCCCTTTTACTGTCTCTGGAACCCGCTGACCAATTTCAACCAACTATGAGCAAGACTTAGAGCTCTCACAGATAATCACCATCCCTTAAATTTAATAAAGAGAGTGCCGGATGAAGGAAGTGCCACTGAGTGAAAAGAGGCAGCTCCCAGCCCTGTTACGACTCATTTAGCAGCAGCCAGCTGACCGTGAGGTATGCGTGTACTGGTGACCCAACAACAACGCACACAGCCCCAAAGAATGCAAATATACCGGGGAGGAAAAAAAAGGCTTCGATAGATTCCTTGTTAAAAAAACAAGTTGTTAATTTCTCTTCTGAATTTCTGAATCACGCAATTCTGACCAGAAGCTGGAGAAGATAACATCTCTGAAAAGAACCCAAGGAAAACCAAGCGTCAGAGGCCGTGCTGTTCTAAGGAGTCATTTTAAGCCTAAAATAGTGTTTTGAAATAGGAACCTGGTGTAGGTATCGCAGGCAAAGGCACCTCGCGTTCAGCTTCTCAGCCGAGCACCCCTTCCCCTACCCTGCAGCGTCTCGGCACTCAGTCGGCTCTCCCAGCCCACGACTTCATGCCCTGCGGCACAACTGCCTC